TGGTCCTGAGGCACTCACGCCCGTGCTGGGAAGGTGATCCAGCGGACACCCAGCGGCAAAAAGCACCTCGGTGCTGTTCGCGCAGGCCCCTAAACCAAAGGGCAATGCAAGCAGAAAAAAAATGCAGTCCAAAAAAGGACAGGCATGCTTTTAGTGTCTTCTTCACTTCCTTCACTGTCAAAAACCAACCCGCCGCCACGGCCCTGAAGGCAACAAGCTCAAAACCAAAAAAAAAACGACCAACGCAAATGCTACAAGTCACCAACGAGCGGTTGTGCAAAGGCTTGGCGAGGCCCACAGGAGCAGCCGTTACCCCGCACAAGAGCAGTTACGACAAGTCGAAGGCACGCACATACGTAAAAGGTAAAATCACGGCGCGTGCGCCACAGACACCGATAATCGAACCTTCTCTGAAGTTCTTGCTGAAATAGTAGAAGAAAAAAAAAGAAACTTTGCGCCAAAAGTGAACAGTCATGTTTCACGATTGCAACAAACCTTCCAAAGTAGACGCACGCCAGGCATTTAGCAGAAGAGAATGCAAAAGCAAAGCAACAAACGCTGAGAAGCAGAGTAGGCACATTTCGAACCCCGAAAATAGTCGCAAACAGAACACGGCACGTGGGGTACAAAAAAAAAAAATTTTTTTTCGCACGTATGCGGAAAGCACCAAAAGGGAATAAACAGTTGTTGGCAAGAGCACTGGCTGAAGTTGGGAGTGGAGAAACGCCGCACGTCTCGCTCCTTGAACCCAGTCATGCCAAGGGATGCTCCCGCGAGCCACAGGGCCGTTACCCGGTCAGGAAAAAAAACATTATTATTTATATCGGTTTTTTTTCTGTGGAAAACATTTAGAAAAACAAAAAGAAGTGCTGCCTCCTAACGACTGAACGGCATCGCGGCGATGACGGTGCTGGTGAAATTAAGTTAGGAAGATGCCCTCCGTTTTACTCGACTTCCAGCCCCCAAAGGCATTAGACACGCGCACCCCAGTGCCGCTGCGTGAATATCTCACCGCCTCCCCGGGCGCAACCAAACGCCTTTGATATTTCGCTCCACCGCCGCCTCGTCAGTTTCCTCTACACAACAGCAAACACCCCGAGGCCTCCACTTCTCTGGTCTCCGACGTGTGGCTCCCAGCTGGCGGCGACACACCTTGTGGGCCCCCCTCTCCAGTCACCTGCATCACTGTCTCCGTGGCGCTGTGGCATGGTCAATGGCATCAAGACAACATTTCCGCCGTGGTTCTGCTGGTTTTCACGCATCGCCTCATCGTCCTTCGCCAACATATTTTACTGTTTACTGCTCCCTCTACACGCTACATGCACCCAACACATGCATGGACACGACACGCACAAAAAAGTAAAGAAACGGTGCAAAGAGAAAAGAACATAAAGTACAAATGGCCACACACACACACATGGCAGCAGCACGCCCCGTCCGCGGAGGACAACGAACGACAAACGATGTTACAAACGACTCCCAACAAAAAAAAAAACCGTGAGAATAATTGAAAAAAAAAAGGAAAAAAAAGGAAAACGCGGCAGAGCGCGGCTGCGGTGTGGGCCGCTGCGAGCTCATGTCCTCCCTGGTCGCAATAAAAACAAAACAAAAATTTAATCGTCCCCCGTGTAGAGGAATTTATTCCCGGCGGTGTGTGTGTGTGCGGGAAAAGGCGCACATGCCCCGCACAGAGACCGCACACTTCTCACAGTGCCGAAAACGCCCACACGCCCAACAGAAGCAGCGGCGGCAGCACTTGTTTCGCACCGCCACATCCATCCGCGTGTTTGTCTTCCAGTTGCGCCACTATTTTAGTCTCAATCTCCCTTTCCGAGGACCTCCGCTCTGTGGCCACGGCCTTGTGAGGAGTCGGCAAGGGCGCAGGCTCCGGCACGGTTTGGGGTGCAGACAACGTGTCGCTCGCATGGTTACTGGAAGTTTTTTGAACTCGAACAGAATCGTCGCCTTGTGGTTTCGCGTCTTCCGGTGCTGGAATGGAAACTTTTCTCTTGTGAAGGGCACCAATCTCCGTGCCACCCAACGGGCGGTTGTACAGCAGAACGTTCGTCACCGTCACACGGTTCACATCGCTCGCTGTCCCTTCTGTGGCGCCGCCGTCCCCGCCAATGTAGAAGTGTTTGAGATCGTGCACGGCTTCGTTTCGCACTGCAGTGCCGCTTGTGAACTCCCCACACGCTGGCCGTTAACGTACACGGATCCCTGGCTGTCGCCCTCCCGCACGATCGCCACGTGGTATTTTTTATTTGGCTCCCACGTGCTGGTGCGATCGCCTCCATTTCCGCCCTTGCAAAGCACACTCCACTGCCTGTCCTTCGTATACGACAGACCCAAAAGCACAGTGCTGTCATTTATCCTCACACCCAACAGAGGAATTGGGCTGCTTGTTGCCTCCGGCACCGCGTGGATCGTCACCGTCGCCATAAGAGTGAAGTTGTAGTTCGCAAAGTGGTACCGCTGATTCTGCCCCTGTTTGCTCACCGGCCATTCCGCCCACGAACCACGCCCTTTGAAAATCACGCCCCCATTGCCAGTCCAATCCGGGCTTGCCAGTTCTCCACTCATTACAGTGGCGTTCACCCCGAGGTACTCGTCCTTCCATTGGCCCTCTGCAAAAGAGCCGGCCAAATACCCAGCCAGCCCTTCAGTGGGCACCGCTTTGCTGCAGCCCGCGCCAGGAGAGGCAGCTGCACCAGCCTCCGTTGGAAGGCACAACTGCTTGACACGTTCATCCACTTCCTTCCATGTTTTCACCACTTTCTTTATATGTTCCAGCTGCTCCGTCAGGTGCGCAAGGTGAAGGCCCTCAGACACCCCCACACCACCACTCACTCCCACTGAACTCAGCTCCTGCAAGGAGATCAACTCCTCCTTGCCCCTAAACAGTAGGGCACTGCCGGCCGCATGCTCATTTGCGTTGGGTATCGGCCCAACATCCATAATGTGGGCGGCGTCAGTGAGCCAAAGATGGAGTTGATCGGTTACGTCGTCTTTCAAAGTCACCGGCAGGGTGAGGAGCATCACGTCCCTTTCTTCAATCGTCGCGGTGATGAAGCCACTTTGGCCGCCAGATCCGTCACGCTCAAGTGCGTTGCCCCACACGCGCGAGAGTGTCCCAAGCGCCTCCGCCCACGTCTTCCCCATATTGCTCGACTCGTACACCTTGCGGTGACCCTCCTCACACGCAGTCATCATCAAAAGTCTCCCGCTTCCCCACTCCACAACGGCAGGATCCACGCAGTCCCCAGCTGCCATCCCCTGCGACAGCCTCCAATCCTTCTCCGGGTTACTGGAGTACATGATCAGCGAGACCTCTTTGTCTTCCTTCGTAATTGCCTTTGCGGGAAGTACGAGTGTACCGTTCTTCGTCACAATCCCCGCGCCCCCGCCAACAAAAAAAAACTAAAACGATTTCTCCTCCAGCGTTGGACTGAGCCCAGACTTAACGGCGCGAGCCTCCCAACTGATGATCTTCTTTTCCTGATCTTTCTTCTTTTCCTCAATTTTTCCAACAAGGAGCCAGAGATACATCGGAACGGCATCTTTCCCATCCTCCGCAGAATTCCCCTCACTCTGGAAAAGAAGATAGATCCTACTGCCCTTCACAACTGGCGTGGGGTTGTAGAAGCCCGCCTCCGCCACTTTACGCGGCATCCTGACGACATCTTGCACCACTGAGTTCTTCCAATCGGAGTCGGGGAGTGCCCAGAGCGCACGCTATCCAACCGATTTAACGAGCTCTACCAGGAGCGCTTTATTATCATTCTCGTCATTGGCTTGCGCGATGACGACCACCTCACCATCCACCTCAACAACGGACGGAACGGTGATTCAGATGAAAGATGACATCTGAGACGCAGCTGGCGCCGCCCCAGGAGAGCCTCCTCCTCCTGCTGTTCCTGAGATCGAGCTGCCCACGTTCGCCTCGGCGAGCACGGCCCAGCTGCTACAGCATATCAGCGCGAAGAAAAGCAGCAGCGCCGCAGAGGAAAACAAATACCGCGACATTTTGAGCGGTCGCTGACCGCTTTCTGTCTCCCTTCCCTCCGCGAGTTGATTCCGCTCGGGCCGCGACGGTTCAGTGCGTAGTTGAACGTGGCAGCAGCAACACTCGAGCATATATATATGCGTGTCTGGTCGGTGTGTGTGTGTTGCTGGTGGTGACTTCAGAGGCTTTCAATGTGCACAGCAGGCAAGTATCGCTTAGTCTCTTTCTTTGTGTGTAGACAAAAGAGAAGTGAAGGGGAAAAAAGAAAAAAAAACAAGGCAAAAAAAGGTTGGCGCTGCCCACGCCCACATCATCGCCATTTACTCCGCAGTACTCCCCGCTGCAGCTCACGGGCATCTAAATACACACAGGCACAAAGAGAGGAGAGCAAGGGGCCGAGTGTACAACGACTTCCGCCATAGCAAAAACCACAACGAATTCGGCCCCCACGCGGCTACACACTCCAAGAGACTGCCGCACCAATCAAGAAGAAAAGAGAAGACGTTGGACTGCGCAAAACGGCTGATCTCACGGGTTTCGGCCGGTATCCGTGGCGAACCGCGCGTTGGTGGGTAAATCCGTCTTTGTCGCGGCGCTTAAACCCGCACTTTGGGCATCACAAAAACAGCACTATGCGATCCTACGGAACGCCGTCATTCTTGGACAACCTGCGTTTTCTCAGTGGCCGCACCACGCTCCCTTCATGGAAATGCCAGCAGTAAAGCACCAGCTAGTCGATGTGCGTTAGTCCTTTTCAACGTGCCGTGCGTTGTTTCCCGCCAGCCTTCCTTGCTGTTTCGCCGAGAGGGGTCCGCTCTTTGGGGCGGTGGCTCCCCTGGGGTTGTTCCTCGCACTCTCTCTTGGCTCAAGTTTGACAGCGCGGGTGCTTGGCCCTACTTTCGGCGTTGTCCCCCATTTTCCCGCCGCCCTGCTTGCGTCGGATGAAGCGGGGCAAACCCCCGCACCGCTTACCACCCCACCCCGGCGGCGGCACCAAAGAAGCGCCCAGCCCTGAGACTAAGGATTTGCTACTTCTTTTTGGCGACGTTGCGCTTGGGTGCGGAAGAGGAGCAATGTTTCTACCAGCGCCTTGCCCCGCGGCACCCGCATTCGGGCGGTGTGTTTTCCGCCGCGCCCGCCGACCCCCGAGGTTTTTTTGCTTGGCCGCGGCGAAGCCCCGCATACAAAAGAAGCGAAAGGCACGTGCAAAACCATTCTGGTATTCGTACGGCGCCAGACAAGATGCTGTATGGGGGGCGGCTTTGGTTGGGAAGGCGCGGCCGCCAGCCGGCGTGCGGCCTCTGGCCCGTGGCCTCGCCAAGCTCGGGGAGGGCCCCCAGAGGAATTGCGGGTGGCCCGGGCACACCAAACAGGCCGGCACCCCACGGTGCCTCGCCACGCCGAAGGCCGCGCCACCTAACCGCGGCACCGCCATGGCAACCGCAGCGGGGAAGCCGGGGGAAAAGGCGATTTGTCTTTGAGCAAAACTTCTCGTGCATTGAGGCTGGCCCCAAGAGCGCGCCGCACCCCCCACCCCCCTATTCGCCACCCCCACCCCAACGAAGCCGCTTCCCACAAAATATGGCGCCTTCCCGGAGCGCGCGCAGGCTGTCGATTTCTGCAAAAGCCGGTTGAAAGGTCTAGCGGGCGCAAGTTTGGAAGTTTGGTCTCCTTGCGGCCCGCGCCGCCGCGCCCCCCCCCCCCCCCACGCCTCGCTTGGCGATGGCGGCGGCGCGGGCCGCAGGGAGGCGAGGAGATCCGCGCCAAGACGGGGGCCGCTGAGCCCCCCTGCGGGCGCCAGACGGTGGGGGCACTAGAAAACGGATCGCCGCCACTCTTTTAGTGGCGAAGCGCAGCTTCCCCTCTAACACGGCATCTTCCGGCATACTGCTTATCGGAATTCCCGCAGTGGGCATGCGTGCTTTGTGTTGCACCTAGATGAGTGCAGGTGAGCCGCCGGAGAGGCACCCCAATGTCGTGTACACGGCCCTCGCCCGGGGCAGGGCAAGGCACCACCTGCGCAGGGTCTCCCACTTCCGCCCTCAGAAACGTAACAAAATCGCTACCAAGCGGAGCGGGCATTGGCTCGCTGCCTGCTGCAGGCAACGGCGTGGGCGCTGCCATCGGCGAAGAAGCCATGGCGGACGAAAGCGCTGCAGCAAGACGGGCACTGTGAGTAAGCCCGTGGCGTTGATGAACAGGAAGAGGCCCCAACACTGCTCCCAGCGGAACTCTTCGCGTGAACGTTGTGGGGGAGGAGGTGGTTCGGTCGATGCAAACCCCGGCATGCCTGTTACATGGGGAATGCCACTGGCCAGTTTACAGTGCGGCCAGCAATCGACTGCCGCCGCATATGTAGGAGGATCTTGTCGCGGTGCACTGCAGCAGCGGATTTTCCCGCGACGGGGCACGCATGTGCTGCTCCTTCTGGGTCTGTGGGGTGCACCGATTGGCAAACTGCATTTTGTAGCAAACTCGAGGTGAAGGCAAAACCCAAAAAATATATATAACAAAACGGCAACAGCCCAAACGGAGAGCACATAACGTGTGTTTATTATTATAAAAATGAATTCGCACGTTGTCGTATTCTCTCTCCCTCTCTTTGTTTATTGAAAGAAAGGCATAACGAAAAACCAAAAATTAAAATTAAATATACAAACTTACCCCCAGCCCAGCAGACATGTATCCATCTTTCTGGTTGCCAGAAGAGGGAATGCGACCAGGCGTATTAGTTAATTCATCACATTTGAAAGCAGGGGTACGCTAGGCGT